GAGAAACACATTTTTAAAGAAGACTTCCTTGGAAGGCTTCAGCCTGTGACCTCCTAGGACACAGGGAGGCAGCTTTGTATCAGTGTTCTTCAAGGAACAGAAAGTGATGCCCTAAGATCAGAACAGAGTTGAGGATTCTGTTATCTGTGGCATGGCAGCCATCCCCATAGCAGAGTGGCGGTATTGTTCCTCCTGTATGTGATGGCGACACACCAACTATGTGGTAACGCGTGTACGTGCGTGCGTGCGTCTAAGTCAGAGGATAACTCATGGGAATGGGTCCTTGCTTTCCACCATGTGGGTCTATAGACTGAAGGATAGGTGTGGCAGGTACCTTTACCCACTGAGCCGCCTCACCAACCCACACGCGTAATTCTTGGTAGCAAATGAGTGCTACTGGGGAGTTTATCGCATGCTGCTTTAAATCATGGTTTTCAGAGTGAGTGTGTCCCTTGAACTTACACATCCACACCAGCAGCAACTTTGTCATTGGGCCGTGCCATCCTCTCCTGTGTCAGATTTAATCCCCTCTCATTTTACTCATGGACTGAGGAGCAATCAGTTCTATAATGCATACCACAAGAACTTCCATGGCGCTTACTCAACAACGCAGTGACCTAAGTCCTGTTCGTCTGTTATTAATGCATGGCTATAGTGGTCTGCCCACTCTGCAATTTCATGGGAGTTAAGTGACTTTCATAGTGACATCGTCTGGTGGGGGTAGGGGGTAGGGGAAACAAACTGCCCCAGTTTGTCCTGAATCTGGCCAGTCCAGAGCAGAGGACTGGATGAGGCTCTCTCTGCCGTCGCAGTGATGGGTAGAAACAGTACAGAAGGGTATGCTTACTCCCCTCAGTTTGCTTACAACTTCCCAGAGGTTGGGGTTCATGGATGCAGAGTTCTGCCCAGCCATTGAGTATCCGCATCTATTGTTTACAGTTTTGTTTTAGCCAAAGTCTGTGCTTTGTCTAAAGCTAAGGGGACTGTGACAGTTCCCTGTCCTGTGTCCTTCATCTTCTTCTCCATTCATTCTCCATATCTACCTCTCCTCAACTTACTGTGGCAAGTGAGGCCCCAAAGAACATCTTTGTGAATCTCCTTACACCCTGGAGAGGGCTCTCCACACGTAGCAGAGTCAAAATGAGGAGAACCTCCGGTGACCTAGGAACCATGGTCAACTTGCTGTAGCCCAGACTCACCTGGAGAAAGGACTGGCAAAGGAATTCTCCAGTTGGCCTGTGGGGAAGTCTGTAGTGGTTACGATCCACTGTAGGTTAACTGACGTCCACAGTGAGTGGCCCCACTCCCTAGGCTGGGCCCTGAACTGTGCCGTTTAGAAAGACTAGCTGAGCAAGAGCAAGTAGACAGCGCTAGTGTGCGTATCTCTCTCTTCCTGGCTGTAGATAAGGTGTGACTGGCTGCAGCTGGAGTCCCTGCTTCACTTCTGCAAAATAATGAACTAGAATTATAAGTGGGGTAAGCCTTTTCCTCCTCTATGCTGTTTTTGGACAAGATGTTTCCTTAAATTTAAAAGGGAAGGAAGGGGGAGAGAATACAGAGAGTTTGAAACCATGTGCATTCCTGTGCACGCCTGTGTGTGCCTACAGAGACCAGAAGAACGCACTGGATCCTCTGGAACTGGAGTCCCAGGAGGTTGTGAGCCACTCAAGGCGGGCGCTGGAATCTGAGCACAGGCCCTCTGCAAAGGCAGTGTGCTCTCTTGACCCCTAAGCTGTCTCTCCAAATAGGACATATTATCACAGCAACAGAAACAAAACTAGGACAAATAGTAGAGCCTATTTTAGAACAGCCCCAGGACCAGTTGGCTGCTGGTGGTTTATGAGAACATTTTAAAGAGAAACACTAAATTTATTTAGTATCAATATCACACTACCATCAAATAAAAAGCAACCCATCAGAAAAGGGGAAATGTTCCAGCCTCACTGCTCCATCTTCTGCCTCCTCAGTATTGGGGGGAAACCTCACTAGGTGCTAGGTGCTGAGAAGAAAGTTGCCCCCACCCTGGAGGTGCACAGGGCTCAGGGAGGGCACAGTAGTGCGTAGGGGAGGTAGCAGGCCACAGAGGAGCCATGCATTGGCAGCAGGTCAGCAGCCATGGCCCAACAGGCTGCTTTCCATTTGAAAATCTTCGGTGTGAATAGGGGTGATTGTGTGGCTGGGATTCCAGCAGCGCCCAGCATCCCCAGTGAGGTGGGATTTACTCACCCCCATGACCGAGGATGCTGGAAAGGGTTTGGCAGGAGCCCTTTGACAATATTTGCCTGTTTTCTGCTGGAAGCTGCCTCCAAGTCATGTGGCCCCAATTCTTTTTTGGCTGCTTGGCAGTTATGTTATTTGTTCTCGGGGGAAGCCTGGTGTCTCCAGGGTGGTGGTGGTGGGGGCCTCTGCAAGGGAGGGGTCAGAGGAGAAGCAAATCATTCCTAACCCGGTTCTAGCAGCAAGCCAAATTGTCCCAGGGAGGCTGGGTGCTGTCAGCCTGGCATAGCAACTCTCCTTCTCCACATCCCTCTGGGTGCACACTGGACAACAGGAAGGACCTGAGCGCCTCAGACATCAGACTCCTGCAGAGAGAGCCTCCTGGGTCCGTGTGTTTAAGAACTCTGTGCTGCAGGGAGGGACAGAATTGGGGACTGTTTGATGGGCGGTGCTGTCAGCCCATCACATCCAGTGTGTGTCATCTATTGTCCACACTTGCACAGAGGAAACCCTCCCCAGGGTGCCATGCGAAACCTTCTCTGGGGTCTTGTTTATAATTCAAAGGTGAGATTTGGGCAGACCTAAATATCTGCTAAGAGGTAAAGGGCCAACTAAATTCTGCAGCTCTTCTCCATGCAGCACGGGGCGTGACACTTAGAACGAAGCGAATTAGCGTCGTCTTTAAATGGGGGAGGGGGCAGTTCACACGCATGTGCCGTGGTAAGTGTATGGGGGTCATTTCTGTCCTACCATGTGGGCTCCATAGCTTGGACTCAGGTTGTTAGCTGGGTGACGGGTCTTTTTACCTACTGAGCCACCTCTCCAGACTGAGGTTAATTCTATATTAGTTAATCCGGTGTGAGGTCACGGATCCAGTGTGACATCACACATGCATGGAAATGCACACACACCCACACACCTTCCTAAAAGAAAAGTAAAATAACCACAGTGAAAATGGAATTTAGAGATTAATCTGAGCTGGTTTATCAGTTCTGTCTGCAAATTCATGGATGCCTACATACGGCTCACTCTCCTTCCCTTGGTCTAACTTTTACTGTTTAGCTTTGTATTTTAGTAGCTTTTTAGAAAAGCCAGGAAATATAGTCATAGATGCCTCATGTTTCTTCTGTTATCGGTACAAGCAACACAGTTCCTTGTTAGAAAATTAAACTGAATTTTTTTTTTCTGAAATGAATTGGTTCAGGTCACTAAGAAAACAATGTCGATGTCTTGCAGTTCTAGAAATTCCAACACCCAGTGTTGGATACTTCATTCCTGGGGTGGTACCGTGGCACTCATGTGGACAAGACTGGCATGATATTTGGAGACTGCTACAGAGGCAGGTTTGCTAGCAGAGACAGATTCAGAACACCACCAGACTGACCTCAAACTCAATGCACATAGGGGAGAGGTGAATTTCTAACCCTCTCCTCCACCTCCCTCCCGTGTGCTGGCATTACAGTGCGAGTTACCACATGCAGTTTATCTTGTATAAGGGATCAAAGCCAGGCCTCCTGTATGCTAGGCAAGCACTCAACCAACTGAACCAAATCCCCAGGTCATGATCTTTAGGATGACGGTTACAGAGACAGGAGGAAGACAAATGGAGGGGGGCATTCAGAAGAATGTCAGCTCCCATTATAGTCATCAGTTTGTTCTGTCACCAGATGTCAGAGGTGGCTTCCAAGACTCCTTTCTAGGCCTTTTGCTTGTCCCCCTTATTTCTCCATGTGTTCCCTCTCATTGAAATTCTGCTAGCAAGGTGACAGCGGTGACCCCTGGAAGGCAAGCTGACTGTGGAAACCCCTGGAAGGCTATCTGAGATATGCCTTATGTCATCTTCCTTTCCTCTGTGCACATCAGCCCAGAGACTGAAACGTGAACAGTCCTACGGCCGTCAGTTCCCTTTCCCTGTCAGATCTTTCTCAGTCCTTTCCAAGCACTGGGTTGGTAGTAAATTAGCCCCAGCCAGACTCCTGCCTCTTCCCACCTAGAAAGCCGTGGCCTAAGCGATGATGTAACGGCCTCAGTTTTATTTTCTCCTGTATAAATTGGACAAAGCGGTACTAGGGCCAGTGATGTAGAATGGCATAGGGCATGTAAGCAAACCCCACACAGAAGCTCGCAAGGAATCCATGTGCAAACCTCCCCGCTCCAAATCTTTCCCTCCCTTTGCTCCTCCTGGGTTCTTCTGGATTCACTGAACTAGACTGCTAAGGGAAGCACAGCCTTCAACAGCCAGCTTCCTCCGAAGGAAGGGTCTCAAGTCAGAGAGCTCCAGGGTTCAAGTAAAGCTTTGAGAGCAGAGGTTCTCGCTGTACATTTCGTCAACTCTGGGAATTTCAAATATTAAATGGAAGGTCATTCTAGAGGATCACTTTTGTTAATGTAATAGTAAAATAATTATATTTTCAACAACTATTAATTCACTCAGGGCTCCTAGGTTAAGGATGGACAGATTTTCATTTCCATTTACTAAAGCTCCACAGGTTGTAATAACAGATCCTATTAAAACTCAGTTAACAACTTTCACATAAAACCTAATCCTTTACCAGTGTTTTGATAGTGGGAAAAAAAAATCCACCCCCAAAGACATATGAGAACTCAGATCACCAGGCTACATATAAGATGGGGGCTTTGCGTTTATCATCAAATTAAACACATTTCAGGTGGGTTACTAAATGCCGAGTAAGCATGACAATGTCAAGACAGCCAAGCCATAGCCTGAAAGTGATAGCTAGAGGGATCCGGGTGACTCACATTTGCTGAGAGCAGACACTTACCATTGCAGAGTGGCAGGAGTGGAGTGTGGCTTGGAGGCTCTATTGTTTTCTTTTTCCTCATCTGTTAAAGGAGAGAAAAGGGAGCTGACTTCAGCTGGCGACAGGAGAAAGGTTTCTCGGTCACCCCAAGTTTCAAAAGCCCAAGTGCTCCTAGGATGCTGACGCCTTGACACAATGGCGCCTTGGCGTTCCCAACATGCAAGCCTCGCTGCACACTAATGCAAAGAACACAAGGAAAACTTACTTTGGTTTTTTCAGACAAGACCTCTCTGTGTGGCTGGCCCTTGTTACATATGGAATTTGGAACTTACCATGTAGACCGGGGCTGCCCTCAAACTCAGAGAGACCTTCCTGCCTTCCAAGTCCTGGAATTAAAGACATGAGCCACCACACCTGACACAGAAAGCTGACTCCTGCAGAAAACTCGTAGGTCCCTTTGCTTTATGTGACCACAGTAGGTTGATCTGACAGGCTGCCCCCAACCCCGTAGTCACTGACAGGTAACATGCACCTAGCCACTTAGATTTTGGACATCTGTCTCCATGGTGTGAGGATTTACATATATTGTCCTCACTCACTGCTGTGGGCTGGACGTTTGTGCCCCTCCATAAAAGGGCTTCATCCCCAGCATCTCAAGCAAAGAACAAGAAGGGAAAGGAAAGAGAGAGATGAAAGAGAACAAAACCACGCCCACCACACCTACAAATACACTGAACAAAGTCTGGCACAGAAAACTTAGATGGAAAGGAACTAGTACCTGTGAAAACAGCTTGAATAAAACAAAAAAATGAAGATGGTACAAGATGCTGGTTGCAAACGAGTACCTGCCCTTTTGACACTGTGCCATAACACCGTCATCTACAAAGTCTGTGCTCAAGGACCGTACATAATGCTTTGCATAGGTTTATGCTTTGTCACAGTTATCCTTGGCTGCACAGATCCTACAGGCCACAGATTGGCTACACCTAACCAACTCTTTCCTAAAAATCTTCAGTGTTTCAGTAAAGCTGAGTCCCCAGAAACATTCTACCCAAGAAAGCAGGTTGGTATCAGTATAATTCTGATTAAAACATGGGGTTGAGAAGAAAATTTTCCCCACAATTAAATGCAACCTTCAAGAGACTCTCTGGCCAGTAAAGGAATGGGAAAGAGACGGCAAACCTGTGCCTGGACAGAGAGAGTGGTAGGTTCAAAGGGAAGGCAGGGAGTGAATCAGATTCAGGCTTCTGAATCCTATACTGTGTCACTCACTAATGGGCCCCAAAGTGGCTGTCTCTCTGTTTTGAAAGCCAATCCCATTCCTCAGCTAATAAATTCCGTATCCACTGGGTGTTGTCTCGCAGACCACAGTACTAATATAAGCACAAGAGTTCTCAGGCTCAAACATGTCAGAATCCTCTACAGACTCAGCGCTATTCAGTCCGCTTTGTCACGCAAGCCCCTTCTAAAAGGCCCTTGTCCCTTCCAGCCTAACTTGGGCCGTGTCACCTGCTGGAAGCCTCCCCAACACGTCTGGTTCTGTCGCTACACTCATGTTCTAGTGAGCAGTGTAGCCCCCATCCATCTCCTCTCCTTGAGGGCTCGCAGACTGCTGAGACAGCAGGAGAGTGAGTGCCCAAGTCACCTTGGTGTCAGCCCCTGCCAGGGCCTCAGTTTTACAGCCTAGTAAAGAACATGGAGCTAAGGCTGTCATAAGAATGCAATCGGTAAGCAATGAAAGTATCATTCTATTTCTGCGGTGCACAAAGAGATAGAGAGGAAACTGTGGTACTACGTGGATTTCGGAGAGGAGGTCAAATTATAAATGACAAAGATTCCGGTGCTGGCGTGTACGCAGTGAAACTGACATTTCATAGCTCCAAACCACATGGTATCAATGCATCTTGCAGAGGACCGGAGATTCCTCCCTGGCACTCACATGGTGGCTCACAACTCTCTGTATCTCCAGTTTCAGGGCACCCGACACTGCAGACACCAGCCAAACACATGGTGCGCAGACATGCATGCGTATGTACATAGAAGACAAAAATGCTTTAAAGACTAGGTATGTTTTTTTTTTAAAGAGTACCAAAATGAAACTAACATTCTTTGAAAAGGCATTTGTGCTAGCCACCATACATCCCATCCTGCAGACTGTGACATGTGAGCCCACCAAACGGAGCTGAGAGGTTGGTATGTATATTTATAAACTGTTAAGAACAAAGTTTTTCGGAGGCTAGAAAATCCCCATGGTCCAAACAGTTGGTAAATGTGGGCTGGTACCTGTGATGGTCCTAGGGTGGCTACTGGTGATCCAGACAAGAACTGTTCTACCCAAAGCCGGGATGGGCCTTTGATCTCTTCTCTAAACAGGCATCTTCTGCCTCTGGGTAATGCCTGGCCTTCTCCCATCAAGGTGGCACCTCCAAGCCTGACCCTCATAGTTGGTAACTATCAATCCTAACTCACCAAATGTGTATTGAATGTCTCCTACAGCTTAGCCCTGCGCCAGTCAAAAAGCCAAGAAAAGCGGACACAGCCTCTGCTCTCTTCATCATCAGCTGAAAAAGGAAAACTCGATAGTCTCCAATGGAGTCACACTGGGTATAAACACCATACTTAAGGGCAGGACCCATGCCCGATAGTAGATGGCCAACACAAAATTAACTCAGTAGTATTTTTGGAGATTTTTGTTTTGGTTTGGTTTTACCTTGCAGATCTTTTACTTATATATTATTTTCCTATTGTTTTATGAGTTTTGTTTGTATGCAAATGTGTGTCTCAGTGTCCTGTATGTGTTTCTTGTGCTTTTTCTTTGGATCTTTTTTCTTTTTGTTTGTTTTGTCCTATCCTGGTTTCTTTCTATTTTATCTTTTTCTTTTCTTTCTTTCTTTTTTTAAGTGCCTGTGTGTATTCAGATGAGGGTGGGGAGAAAGGGTGTGGATGAGGAAGTGGGGTGGATCTAGGAAGAGCTGGGGAGGGGTAATCATAATCAGAATATGCTATATAAAAATCCATTTTCAATTAAAAAAAATATCAGCTAAAAATGTTCAAGTTCTGGGCAGGTACAGTGGTGCTTGGCTTGGGATCTGAAGGGGCCATCAATCCAAAGCAGGCAGGAAAGCATGTTTAAGAAGACGGAACAGCAATAGATGACGGAGACCAAGAAACTTGGCGCTGCCCAGCGTCTCTGCAGACTTTAGGATCTGGGCACTGCCCAGTGACTCTGCAGTTGAGTAGGCTGAAGGGACTCTGGTCAAGTTAGACCCATCTAGCAAGGCACACCATCAGGCCAGTGGGATTCCTGGCGCTTTTACTCTGTGGTGCCCACCAGCTAAAGCCGGGCAGCATTCTGCTTCGGAGAACCCCTAGGAAAACACAGTTACAGTTCCCAGCACAGCACAGACGCCTCTGGCCTCTTCCATTACTTTCCTCTACTTCTAGGCTCAAATCCTGGCTGGGCATGTTGTTGTGACCCAAAGAAGCTGTTGGGTCTGTCACTTCCTTGTCTGTGGAGACCAGAGGGCACCAAGAACACAGGGCTCTGACCCGCCCTGCTGCAGTGTACATGCTATCACTCAAAACCTGTAGTTCCTCCAAGACAGCCAGCATGCAGGCCACAGTCCTCGCAGGGACTGACTCAGTGGCTCCACAGCCCCTGTCCTCTCTCTCCCTAGCAGAGCCCTTATTACTACTCTGTAACTGTCCTAGCCGACTCCGGCTTCTGTAACAAAATGCTGTACACTTGATGGCTTATAAACAACGAAACGTCCTTTTGTACACTCCCGGACATTGAGAAGTCCAAGATGATCAAGATGCCGAAAGACTCCACATCTGGTGAGGGATCTCCTACTGGCTCAAAGGAGCTGTTTGGCGGATGCCGTACTCTCTCCTGTGGCAGAATGGGTAAAAAGCTCTCTGGGGACTCTATTACAATGGCACTCATTCCTTTCCTGGGGACTTCCATGCTCATGTCCTAATCCCCTCCCTAGACCCCCACCTCTAAATGCTATCGCTTTGGTCATGAAGTATCAGGCCGAAATTCTGACAGCTGCCTTGCCCAGCTGCAAGCTCAGGAGGGTGCAGATCTGACAACACACCACACCAACACACCTCGAAGGTTCAAAAACTACCTGTGAATGAATGAAGAAATGATTTGAAAAGTCTGAGCCCTTCCCCTTTGACCTCAGAGAGCACCAAGTAACAACGGCACATGAAGCCCATACATGGAAGACAAGTAAGGTGCCCAGAATATGCTAAGCTCTTCACGAAGCTGTTTGGCTTTCACAGCTGCCCTAGAGAATGAACGAGTTCACACACACAGCACCAAATGCAGCATTTATGGTGTTTAGCATTCATCAACACTAGAGCACGTTGTAGCATTTACTCCTCTCCCAGCGGAGGAAAGGGGAGGCTCAGAGGAGCATAGCCGTTGGTCTAAGATCACGTGGCTATTGGTGGAGTGAAGACAACCGCGCCTTACTCCTGTCAAAGCCTCTATACTCGAGCATGTATGAGCCCGGCCTTCTTTCTGGCATGCAGTGATGGACTGCAGGTTTAAAGAACATGGTTCCCACCCATTGTTTCTCCCTAGTGGTTCAGCCCTGTGCTGATTAAATTTGCCATATCCAGGTACCTGTTCTAGAATATTTCCTGCCTTGAGGCTGATTCGAAGAGTTTAATGTAGTGGGAGAAAGTCTCTAAATTAATTAATCACCTCTTCAGCTCAAAAGAGGGACAGTTCAAGTTCATGTGAGGCTAGAGTTTCACTTCCAGGTTCTAATTCTATTTCCTTTCATTGTGTTGTCCTACCCACACCTGGCCGCCTCACCTGGTGGGAGCAGGCAGTTGGCAAATGTTTGATTTCCCCTAACTCACCACCTCCCTAAGAGCCTCTGCTGCGGAGCAGGGTGTGTGGCACCCAGGTGCTTGGCAGTAAATCCTCCTCTCTGTGGGAACAGGGCTGAGTCCCAGACAAAACAGGGGTGGCGGCAGCATTGCCCTGAGGAGCAAAATACCTGTTTCCTGTCTTCCTCTGGTTGAATTCCTCCAGAGCCTCTGTCTAGAGAGGGGCTCATCTAA